TTGATTCACAGTTCAAAAAATGTTAACTTATTAACATTTTAAGACATTCATAAATTTATATCATTATTCTATAATCTATTATATTTATGTATCTGTGTGTGTGAATATATATTATCTATCGATGTATCTATTTATATCTTATTTCCTTTTCCTCTTCTTCTGTGCCTGGGAATTTCATTTTGATTTAGACTGGCAGGTGGTTTAGATACAGGATTTTTGGATTGTGACCATTTTCTCTCAAAATTCTTTTCCTTCATAATTACCATCTGTGTATATTTTTGTTTCGTGCTTTAAGAAATTTATTCTATGAAATATTTTATGCCACTATTTGGACCTCAACGTGGCCTTCCTTTCTTCCCACTCATGGAATATAAGTTGGGCAATTGTAATTTTTAGCTTAGACTATTTTCAAACTTGAATTTGGACTTCCTTCATTGTTCCCCATAGGCCTTCTCCCCCATCTCTACTTCTCTTGGCATGTGTAAATCTGAACAATCTACCTGGTTACTTGCTCTCTGCTCACTACTGAGTCTCCTTATATGTGTGTCTCTTTTTCCACTCACTATGGTATAGTTCTTGATTTGTTTGTTTTTGAGACGGAGTCTTGCTCTGTCACCCGGGTTGGAGTACAGTGGGTCAATCTTGGTTTACTGCAACCTCCACCTTCCGGGTTCAAACAATTTTTCTGCCTTAGCCTCCTGAGTAGCTGGGACTACAGGTACATACCACCATGCCCAACTGATTTTTGTAGTTTTAGTAGAGACAGGGTTTCACTATATTGGCTAGGCTGGTCTCAAACTCCTGTCCTCGTGTTCTGCTTGCCTTGGCCTCCCAAAGTGGTGGGATTACAAGCATGAGCCCCCATGCCTGGTCAAGTTTTTTTTTTTTTTTTTTGAGATGGAGTCTTGCTCTGTCACCCAGGCTGAAGTGCAGTGGCATGATCTCAGCTCACTGCAACCTCTGCCTCCCGGGCTCAAGCAATTCTCATTCCTCAGCCACCTGAGTAGCTGGGATTATAGGCAAGTGCCACCACACTTGGCTAATTTTTATATTTTTAGTATAGACAGGGTTTCATTATGTTGACCAGGCTGGTCTCGAACTCCTGGCTTCAAGTGATCCACCTGCCTCGACCTCCCAAAGTACTGGGATTACGTGAGCCACTGCGCCTGGCTGTTTTTCTGATTATGGGGATCTCCAAATGGTGGCATCTAAATCTCATGGGAAGGCAGAAGAGACACAGGCAGGCTACCAATGCATTGCTGAAACTGGAAAAAAGTTCCTGTTCTTTTCTCTTAGGCTTTCCCAGCCTCAAGGTCAGGGAGGGCTTGGTTCACCTCTCCCAACAGGCAGGGAAACCATTTCCCTGGGGGTCTATACATCACTGCAGGCCAAGTTGAGTTCTTCAGTGCTGCTCCTCAGGTCCTCTCTCAACTCAGGAGAAAGTCTTGCACCAGTCCTCCGCAGCTTTCACAGAGCCCAAGGCTTTCTTTGGATCTAGTTGCTTTTTGCTTTGCATTTCTGTGATCAAAGGAGAAAAATGGGCTAGAGTTAATAGAGGTGAAGGAAGTACTGATTGCTGATTCCCTGAGAAGACGCCCCACATTTCAAAAACATTGTTAAAGCAAAGCAATCTTGGTAGCTTCTTGAGGGCAGCAGGGCAAAGGTGGCATGTTTATGGCGTCTGGTTTAAGGAAGGTCTTTCAATGTTGATTGGAGTTGGGCAAAGCCTGTTACAGGATTGGCGGATAGTGAGAGCTGTGAAACCAGTCTTGAAGCATAAACAATCATTGAATGAGCCTAGATAGAGATCGATTGTCCTGAGAAGGGAGTATTTACTCTAATGAGGACTAACGAGTCTAGTGTTTGGATAGATAAATCTGGGAATAATTTCCTGCAAGGGCATCTCCCTGATCAAGAGTTTCCTGGAATAGTAACATGATGCTAATACAAACAGTAGCTTTGTGGTTTCAATGTTCAGAAGTCAAGGTGAGACCAAATCCTTCCATGCTCCCTGGGGCCGACCATGGCCTTCATAAGGCATCTTCTACTTTGTTTTTTTTTTTTTTTTGAGACAGAGTCTCGCTCTGTCACCCAGACTGGTGTGCAGTGGTGTGATCTCGACTCACCGCAACCTCCGCCTCCTGGGTTCAAGCAATTCTCCTGCTTCAGCCTCCCCATTAGCTGGGATTACAGGCACCTGCCATCATGTCCAGCTAATTTTTGTATTTTTAGTAGAGACGGCGTTTCACCTTGTTGACATTTATTTTCATATAATGCCTACTTAAGCGTCCATTGCTGGTCTGTTCGGTTCTGGTCTGCCCTGGGCAAGGGTGTTTGGCAATGAGGAAGGAGTGTGCTTGGTTTAGAACAGCAGCTTCTGTGGTTCTTTTTGGAGGCATCAGTTCTGCCCAAATCTGGGGCGCCTTTTCATTGATCTATATTTGGGAGTTAAATAAAAGGAGAGTTTTATTCTAATTAATTTAATTTATTTATTTAGTTTTGAGACAGAGTCGTGCTCTGTTGCCCAGGCTGGAGTGCAGTGGCATGATCTCAGTTCGCTGCAACCTCTGCCTCCTGGGTTCAAGAGATTCTTATCTCAGCCTCCCAAGTAGCTGGGACTACATGCATGCACCATCATGCCTGTTTAAATTTTGTATTTTTTGTAGAGATGGGGTTTTGCCATGTTGGCCAGGCTGGTCTCAAACTCTTGGTTAAAATTGATCAGCCCACCTCATCCTCCCATAGTGCTGGGTTTACAGGTGTGAGCCACCACGCCAGGCTTTATTTGTTTTTATATTTATTTATTTATTTATTTATTTTTTGAGACATGGTCTTGTTCTGCCACCCAGGCTGGAGGGCAGAGGTGCAATCACAGCTCATTGCAACCTCAACCTCCCAAGCTCAATTGATCCTCCCACCTCAGCCTCTCAGGTAGCTGGATCTACAGGTGTGAGCCACCACACCTGGCTGGCTAAGCTTTGTATTTTTTGTAGAGACAAGTTCTTCCTATGTTGCCTAGGCTGGTCTCAAACTCCTGGGCTCATAAAGATCCATGTGCCTTGGCTTCCCAAAATGCTGGGATTACAGGCATGAGCCACTGCACTCGGCTATGATTTTTAAAAATCAAAAGCAGAGAGTAGATGGAAACTTAAATGACAGCAAATAATAATAATAATAATAAACTCCCAGAGACTGTATGGTATAGACCAGGCCCTGGATTAATGGGAATGTTTGCATTCCATCCCCTTGAGCTCAAATATTCTAGTTAAAGTGAATCACCCAAGGTTACCTTCAATAGAAGGTGGGTGTGGAAAGACTTGGACTGGAAATTTAGGAGCCACAGGAGGCCAGCTGCTTTTCTCCACAGGAGACTTGACCTTTGACACAGAGCCCTGAGGAAATCTTGACTGTTTTCATTAGTATTTGATCCTCAGCTGATGCAAACCATTTATTTATGTTTGCCCATTGGACAGCAGGGGGATTGGGCTGTTTTCACGTCTATAAAAGGCAGTGAAGAGTGCTTCCTTTGATGTGTCCCGCCTCTGCTGTGGCCTCACCATGCCAGGCTAACTTGGTCTTCCCATGTAGGGCTCTGGATCCCACTCCTAAAAACTCTAATTTGAGGATCAGAGTCTGAAATAGCCCAAAAGGTATCCTGTTTAGCTTGTCATTTAAATAGCTAAGCCCCTGCCATGACCATTTAAAACCGGCTCACCTTTCATTTAGCTAAGCAGTTCTTTTTCAAATTTGGCTTGTTTGTGTTTTTCTTTATTCACTGCAATTCTGCATCTATAAAAAGCATTGATGGAAGGAGGAAAGAGTGAAATCAACATTCTTTTTAGTAGAGGGCCTTGGAATTGCAGAAATATCAGGGAACTTGGCAATAAAGGCCTCCAGTGTTATCCCTGAGTGCAGGGGACCATAGTGGTCACAGTCATGGCCTGGATGTGAAACTTGACTTCAAAGATGACTAGCTTTCTGCTGGCACAGTGGCTCACCCCTGTAATCCCTGCACTTTGGGAGGCCAAGGTGGGTGGATCACAAGGTCAGGAGTTCGAGACCATCCTAGCCAATATGGTGAAACCCTGTGTCCACCCAAAAAAATTACATAAATTATCTGGGCCTGGTGGCACATGCCAGTAGTCACAGCTAGTTGGGAGGCTGAGGCAGGAGAATTGCTTGAACTGGGAGACTGAGGTTGCAATGAGCAGAGATTGCACCACTGCACTCCAGCCTGGCGACAGAGTGAGACTCCATCTCAAAACAAAACAAAACTAAACTTAGCTGGGATGGTGGCATTTGCCTGTAGTACCAGCTACTCAGGAGGCTGAGGTAGGAGAATTGTTTTAACCCAGGAGGCAGAGGTTGCAGTCAGCTGAGATGGCCCCACTGCACTCCAGCCTGGTGACAGAGCGAGGCTTTGTCTCAAAAAAAAAAAGACTAGCTTTTTGACCTTAGGCAGGTTATTTGACCTCGCTTTACCTCCATTTCCCCATCTGAAAAACTAGGGTGATAATAGTTCTTACCTCCTAGGTAGGACTGGTTGCCTGGCTTGCAAGAGCCTCTTGTTCAAATTTTGATGAAATCAAAATGCTGGACCCCTTGTTCACCTTGCCAGCTGGTAGCAGCATAACATGAAACTAAGTGTGGGACCCCATCTGAGCATGGGCCCTGTGACACTTGCCAGGAAGCTGGCCCTGCTCACAGGATCATTGTGAGAACGAAATTAATCATTGTATTTAAAGCCCTTAATGTAGTGCCTGGCACATATGCAATCTATGTAAACATTAATTAAATCTAAAAAATGACAGAGGAGTAGTCTGGGAACCAGAGAGATTGTAACTAGCTCAGAGTAACACCATGAACTGGTGATAAAGTGAGCCTTGGATTCTATCTGTTCTGTGGCTTTCTGGGTGGTTTATTTATATATACTGTAGTGGTTTCTTCAGTGAAGCTCTTTCATTCAATCAGCATTTTTGAATGCTTTTCTATATCCTGTGTGCAGCAGTAAACAAGTGGCAACATGCAGTTCATGAGTTTTGTTTTTCTTTCTTTCTATTTCCAGTGCTATAGCAGGCTAGAATAAATCTTAAGCTATACTAACTCTGTCACTAAACAGGCCATGAGATTCTTACCTTATTAAGTCACATGAATTTAGACGAGTCAAGTAAATAATGATATCCGGGATCTTGGTATCAACACATGAAGAAAACTTGTAAGTACAGATGTTTAAAAAATATAAATGTGAATATAAATGATGGATGAGTTTTCTCATGCGTAAAATCAGAGGATGATTTAGATGATCCGAAAGAAATCTTCCAGCTCTAACATTAGTAACAGAATCACATGGGCCTCAATTCTTTCCTACTGCCCCTGTAGCCACAAATGGAAAGATCTTGCTAAAATGAGTACTTTTTTTGTTGTTGTTCCTAGCGTGCCCTTAAAGAAAATTATTAAAAATATCTGAGGTCAATGGCAGATAAAATTTTCCTAGTCTTTCTTTACAAAATCCAAAGGGAGGACAAAATAGTATTCAGTCTGTATTCCGATTCACCTTCATTTGCTGTTTCTTGGTAAACAGGGAATGTCATTCTTGTTCATTGTGAATTTCAGAATCTAAATTTGGAAAAAGAATCCTAAAAGCATGCTAATGAGGCTCTTCAAAGAGTTCTTTAAAAATTTGAATACATAAATAATTTTATCATTCAGGGTGTGAATCAGCTATAGTTAGTCCAAACGGCTTTTTAAAGCAATAGACTTTTTCATGTTCAGGAACGATTTCCTGATATATAAATAACTTCCATTTTCATGGTACTCAGGCCATAAAGGGCCCTGAAGAACACACTCGTCTAATTTGAATTGTTTAGATTAATTCGGCAACCTGTGTAACCTCACTTTGATTCTAATTATTGTCATAGCCCGCCTGAGTAAGGCGTTTTGTGGTTTAATAATGCATCCTCTAATTTCAAACACAAAAGTGTCTGTAAAGTCTGTCTTAATTGTCAATATGTTTCTTCTATTTGACATAATTTAATTTAATATAATTAATATAAATTGTAAGATCCTAAAATCCCAAAAGAAGATAATCTCCTGTTCTTCACTAGAATTTTTCTGTTCCAGGAAAATGTCATTTTCTATTTGTGGACTCTTCTAGGAAATCTTCATTCCCATTTAGCTGGAGTGGTGATGGAAAGCTATTCCTTCTCTGATGGACTTAACAATGCTATTTCTGTATCTCATTTGTGAGGCTGGGCAGCCATTCATTCGTGGTTAATACTGTAATTCTTAAAATGTATTTTCAAGAACTGGACAGAAATATCTGATCCTCCATTTTAGTTTGAATGCTATCACTGCTGAAGCCCACACAAAACTGTCAGCAAAATGCTGTTTGTATTGGGCAACTCTTGTGAATTGAAAGTAGCTAAGCTAAAAAAAGGAAAATTGACAGGTGTCTTATTAGGCGTCAGCGATTAGTCATTTTTGTATCTGCACAGTAATTGACACTTACTTCTAAACAAGGATTGTGCATTTGCATGCTTTCAGGAAGAAGTCCTGCTGGGTGATTGTAATCTACTATTTTAGGATGTGATGGCTTAATTTGAAAAATGGTTTTATGAACAAAACACGATCTCTTTCTTGTCACTTTTCTGAACGTCCTCAGGTTTCACAGTGTAATCAGGGACTGAATGGATTTTACTTCAGTACAAAATATCTGATGACTAAATGGGTTTGGCAGTAAAATTGAGGTTTGTGTTGGTAACTACCTTCCACAGGAAGCAGAGATTATCTTTATTCTGTTCTTTTCCTGATGACTGCTGTAAAATGTATTTTTGGTTTGTTACAAACCAGTTGTACCTTTCAGAATCAAAACCAGAGAAGAAATTCTGTGGATAATTCTTCTTTTATTCAGGGGCTGGTTCCATGTCCTAAAATTAAGGAATTTAGAATTGTAAGAAACTTTAGAGAATATTAATTTAATTTTAAATTATAATTTTTTCTTTTGAGACGTAGTCTTGTTCTGTTGCCCACACTGGAGTGCAGTGGTGTGATCTCAGCTCACTGCAACCTCCACCTCCTGGTTCAAGCAATTCTCCTGCCTCAGCCTCCTGAGTAGCCGGGACTACAGGCGTGTGCCACCATGCCTGGCTAATTTTTGTATTTTTAGTAGAGACCAAGTTTCTCCATATTTTTGTGAATCCCTCAAATTTGAGACAGGTCTCAGTTAATTTAGCAAGTTTATTTTGCCAAGGTTGAGGATGAACCAGTGACACAGCCTCAGGAAGTCCTAATAACAGGTTCCCAAGGTGGTTGGGGCACAGCTTAGTTTTATACATTTTAGGGAGACATGAGACATCAGTCAATATATGTAAGAAGTATGTTGGTTCGGTCTGGAAATGCGGGACAACTTGAAACAAAGGCAGGAAAACTGGAAGCAGGGAGGAGGCTTCCATGTCACAGATGAGTGAGAGACTAGGCTTGTATTCCTTTGAGTTCCTGATTATCCTTCCAAGGGAGGCAATCAGATATGCATCTATCTGAGTGAGCAGAGGGGTGACTTTGAATAGAATGGGAGGCAGGTTTGCCCTAAGCAGTTCCCAGCTTGACTTTTCCCTTTAGCTCAGTGATTTAGGGAACCTAAGAATTATTTTCCTTTCACTTGGTAAGCAGGTCTTGAACTCCTGACCTCAGGTGATCCACCAGCCTCTCAAAGGGCTGGGATTACAGGCGTGAGCCACCAGGCCCAGCCAGAGAGTATTAATTTTAAATCTCTTCCTTCCAGATGAGGAAATTAAGGCTCAGAGACATTATGTGACAATTTCATTGTGGCCAGAGGAGTTGAGACAAAACAAGATGAAAGGATTTGAAAACTTAGATCGTTTTTTTGGATTTGTCCCTGTGACAATTAATGTTTGATGCCATTCATGAAGCTAGAGTCCTCTTTCTTATGTTTGTGTGTTAATGACTTTTTCCACTACAAGGCAAATTGCTTAAGTGTTCCCCACCCTCACCCCACCTCTATGTCATTTTACTTTTGACCCAACCTCTGAAAACATTGATATATCTAAATAGATAATCAAAAGGAAAAGTTTTACTTGGTGATTTTATTAAGAAAATACTGCCAGCTGGGCACAGTGGCTCACACCTGTAATTCCAGCACTTGGGGAGGCTGAGATGGGCAGATCACCCGAGGTGAGGCGTTTGAGACCAGCCTGACCAACATGGAGAAACCCTGTCTCTATGAAAAATACAAAATTATTCGGGTGTAGTGGCGCATGCCTGTAATCCCAGCAACTGGGGAGGCTGAGGCAGGAGAATTGCTTGAACCTGGGAGGCAGAGGTTGCGGTGAGCCGAGATTGCGCCATTGCACTCAAGCCTGGGCAGTAAGAGCAAAACGCCGTTTCAAAAAAAAAAAAAAAAAAAAAAAAACTGCCACCATGAACAGCAAAATGTTTCCATAACAGCAGCCTCTCATTTTGATGATTGCTGCAACTCCCCATGTCTTTGGAGCTTTGTGTTTGAAAAAAGGGTATGCATTATTAAACAACAAAAAGCCTTATTCAAGGTGAGCATGACCACAGTAAGGTTGGAGTGACATCTTTGTGACACTGTGCAGGGACAGTCATACCCCAGATGGACTGCACCCTTTGGATAGCCTATGTTGTCACCCGGAACCAACTTTGAGTTCAGCCTCACTGCCTCTTTACGTCTCCAGAATACAGAACTCCAGAAGCATGGGGAATAATGTGGATTTTACTGGATGTTTCACAGAACTATAGGAAGGATGATTTCATCACAGGGAAGCTGCGATTTTTTTTTTTTGGACCTCTTCCTGTGACAATTAATGTTTTTCTATTCTTCCATCCCTGTCCCTTTTCTCTCCTTTTTTCCCCTCACACTGCTTTTAAAAGCCCCTTTATTTTTTGTAGCCACTCACCTCTGGCCTGAAGTATATATGTCCTCTCACCTCTCACCAGCAAAACAACAGTCTGTGGTAAACTATGAACATGTTTGTTCTTCTTACATGCCTTTTGAGGGGCTTCAGTTCACTTGGCCATACCTGTGGGTGTTGGGATATTGATTCTTCACAAAAACAGATCTAAAGTTAAAAGGTTAACTTGGACCTGAGTCTGGCAGTAGACAAAACTAGATATATTGGCAACCGAGATCTTTTTAACTTTTATTTGAGATGGAGTCTTGCTCTGTTGCCAGGCTGGAGTGTAGTGGTGTGATCTCAGCTCACTGCAACCTCCACCTCCCAGATTCAAGCACTTCTCCTGCCTCATTCTCCAGAGTAGCTGGGATTACAGGTTTGTGCCACCACACCTGGCTAATCTTTTGTATTTTTAGTAGAGATGGGGTTTCACCATGTTGGCTAGACTGGTCTCAAACTCCTGACCTCAGGTGATCTGCCCATCTCGGCCTCGCAAAGAGTCTTAACTTTTCTTCATGTGTTCCTGACTTTTATGGGTACCTTTCCTGTTAGGCACTTGCATCCTAGGTTCAATTTAGTTCCAGAAATATTTGTTGAGCCCCTGCTAAGGGCAAGGCACTGACCATGTGTCTTTGGTTGAATTGGGGGTGACAGTGGGGTGGTAAACCTGCAAAAAATGGAAGTAATGTGGTGTGTAAATTTTCAGTGCTGCAAAAGAAGTAGCACTGGAATATAAATTTCCTCAGCAAGGCAATTTACTTCTGTAGAAGGGTGTGGCTCACAGATGGAACAATGGTGAGCACACACATGGACAAGGGAGGGGAAGGGATTCTTATTCCTGATGGAGGTCACCCCTACTGCTGTGTCATTCCCCTACTGGACAGGGTTAGACCACACAGTCTAAGCTAATTTCAATTGGCTATTTTAAAGAGAGCAGAGGTACGAGCCTGAGTGGAGGGGTGGGTAGTTTGGTGAGAAGGACAGTTATAGGATAGGTCAGAGGAGGTAACCAGGGGTGACTCAGGTCAAAGCAGGTGACCAGATCAGGTGACTGGGATGAGTCAGGACAGAGCAGGGGACTGGGGGAACAGATGTAAACTACTGATTAGAACTGGTGGAAAAGGTTGTTTACTGAAACTATAAGGAAGATAAACTTAAAAATGGAGAGTTAAAGAATAAGAGAGCTGAACACACTGACACACTGATTCTTTGAAGAGAAACTTAGAATTTATTATATCTAACAGCAACACAATGTGCTGCTCAGTGCATTACCAGGAGAATA